TTTTTCCTTTCCAGACATCGGTCAAGGCCTGGACATCGTTCATTTCAGCCAGGAGCTGGTCGATCCGATTAATATTCTACTGGACCTGCGATGTTTGGTCATTAGTCGCTATGGCTAAGTCATCATTGCTAACTTTGAAAAGCTTTACTTGTTCCACCAAGTTGGCATGCTCCTTCTGAACCGCCTCCAACTCGCCCCGAAGACTCTAGACGACACCTTCTTGTTGCTCACTGAGAAGCTCATACGTGTCGCTCTTCTCGGCAAGCTCCCTGGCCTCAGCCTCGAGCTGGTTAACCTCGGCCTGGTACCATAGGAAACTTTCATGATGGAGTACCAAAGCCTTCAAAAAGATAAAAAAACAGAAGACGTGAGAAATATCAAAAACTAACTCAGGAGATGGAAGAACGTAACGATACCTTACCCGATTCAGTGCCTGATGTGCTTCGTTAAACAAGCACGGCACATACATCTCACTCATTTCCGCCTGATCTTCTTCGGTTACCAGGCACTGGAGGTATCTCGCCACTCCAACGGGGACAGAAAGAACCCGTACATCCTCTAGGACAGTGATGATAATTGACCTCTTACTGCCAGAATCCATGCTCGGGGCGGGAAACTGGTTGATCAACTTTGGGCTCAAATTCAGCCCACCGATTTCTGAAGACGTCTGCCTCCTCGGCACCTCCAGGTCGCCCAACCCGGTGAAATCTTCCAAAGCGGCCGAGTCTACACCCTCGAAAAAAGAACAAAGGGGATCGTCTGCACCATGAGCCCCTTCGTTGGATCGCTCCTTCACCGCTCGAGCCTCTTCAAGCATGGACTCGGTATAAGAAGGCGATCGTGAAATATCTATTACACCAGGTGCCTCCTTCAGGGCATGGCTGGCATCCCGGGAAGTCTCGGCCCTGGTCTCTTCATCGACCTCCCTAATCTGAGGGAGATCGACCTCATGAATCTACCGTTCAACATCCACCCACTCTTCGAGGGAGATTGGTTTACATGTCACATGAATATCATCCTCCTCGGGCTCATCCCTAAGCCGATAAAGCGAGTCCAAGTCGGGTGCTCGAGAGCCAGAACTCTCCTTTGGCTTGCGGGCCAACCTTCTCCTTGGCTTCTTCTTCTCCGAGCTTGGGGAACTCGGAGCCTTTCTTTTCTTCTTATCTCCTACAGCAGCCCCAAGTTGTCCCGAGATGGAGGGATCAAAGGACAAGTCCACATCCCTACTGGAGGCCTAAGCTCAATGGTCTTAGGCAGGCCTGCGAAAAGAACATTAAGGAAATGAGAATGTGATGCTAAAAGGGGGAGCCTAATGTTACTTATTCGAGAAAAGAGATCTTACCGTGAGAATGAACCTCCCAACGGCCCTTCGAGAGCTCGCGCCATGAGCACTCCGAGTAAGGCATTTGCGAACTATACCCTCGATCCACTCCTTTAGCCGAGGAATGGCATTTGGGACTCGAGCAACAGTTGTACCACCGTAAAGACTGGTAAGGAAAAAGGAGATGAACGTAAAATTGACATTTAAAGGAAAGTTATGCTTACGTGACACATTCCACTTCTCGGGGAATGGCCTAAATTCGGAAGGGATCAAGTCTCAGGTCCTCACCCGGACGAAGCATCCCTGCCAGCCCCGGTTCCGGTCCTCATCTATGCTTGAGAATGGGGCTTTGCTAGCCCGGCGTACGAGCTTTATCAGTCCCCATCGGAAGATTCGAGGACTATACAGGTAGAGTAGATGATCGATGGTGAATCGACAAGAGTCGGTTTTATTCACGAAGTATCGAAGGAGGATTATGATCCTCTACAGCGACGGGTGGATCTAACCGAGGCATAATTCATACCTCCTACAGAAGTCCAGAATGACTGGATCCACCGCGCTCAGTGTGAAGAGATAAGTGTAAACACTCAGATACCCCTCCACATGGGTAGTGATGGCTTCCTCGGGCCCGGGGATTACTATGTCCTTATCGGCCCAGCTGCATTCCTTTCGAACCGCAGGAAGGACTTCTTCGGTGATGGAGCAAATGTACCTAGATACCACCTCGCATCGGCCTTGCACCAACGAGGGCTTTTTAACCTTAAAAGTATCTGCGATCGAGCACCCCCGGGGATGAAAATTTTCAAGGGAAGATTGGGAGCCGGTTCATTGGTAGCCACGCCCGGAGTGGTTCTCTCGAGGATGACCACATCGGGAGTGGCCTCGTCAACTTCGATGGTCAGCTGCGAAGAAGAAGAAGCAACGTTTTGGGGAACCGTTTTGGAAGTTTTTGCCATTATTATCTGGAAAAAGTTTGAAAAATATGAAGAAAGGTTGGAGATGACAGGTAAAAGCTTTGCTGAGAAAGTTAAGTGCACTGGTTTGGGTAGAAAATAAGTAAAAGCTTGCAATTTACTGAGAAATCTTGAAGAAATGAGGTAAAAAGGTTGGGCAGTAATATCCTGAAGATTCGAAGGTAGAAACTTGGTCAAAAGGTAAAAAATGAACGAATGAGGGGAGTATTTATAGAGCCTTAGCACCATTTTGCGTCCAGGGATGGCCTGTTGATGGTTGACACGCGCTTGAAGTCATTATGACGCGACTGGCAGGACGTTCTGAATTCTTTATCGTTTCTGTCACGGCGTGTTGAAGAAGGGATCGAAGTGCACATGTTGTTTCTCGTCGTTTTCGTAAACATACTCTCCGAGAAACGAGGGGGATGTATACGGGCAAAACTGAACTCATGGGATACCTCGGTTTCCGATGAAGTAAACGGAGCGGGAGACATGACGGTAAGGAACCGGAGTCGAAGAAAAGAGCCCCTCGAGCCGGGATCAGGACAAAATGCTTGACCTCGGGATTATCGGGACCATGACCCCCAGGTTCGAATCCCAAAGGCCTCTGAGAGCATTACCACATAATCGAGCACGACCAACAAAAGATCGTGATATCCGTGACCAGCCGGATGTCACGGCGTGAATCTCGGCACGTATCGGCAGAGAACCGGTGATTAGTTCAACATAAGATTTTTATCTTTTATGGAATTGTACTTAGGGTAAAACTCTCCTACTATATAAAGAGAGGTCTGATTATTCATTAGCGATATTGTAACAGGCACGCCAAGGCAATATACTCTTATTTTCTCCGTTATTCAAAGTTCTTATTTTTTTTCATCAAATCACCAGTAACGTGAGCCCGGTATCGAAGGCATACATTTCATTAGGCAGTTACTAAGTCCGCGATCACTCCTCTTGATTGGTTTGACAATTTATTACATCCTTTATCTAATTAATCTAACGTAATTTATCGTTTGTATTGAATTAACCCACATATCCTTAAAACCACTTACAAATTTAATTGTTATCCGTTTTTAGGGTAAACAATGAGTTTTCTATTTTAGCAAGTTTTTCAGTAACTCTGCTAGTATGTTTGCATATTCAAAGTGCTGATATTTTTAACTTAATTGTCAAATTCCATCTCTGACATTTCAAAGCAAGAGTCCAGATGGTCTAAAGCATATTTCATTCTCTTTGGGATGGGGAATTGACTATTGCACAAGCTTAAACTTCATTAGATACTAGTCTCAATATGTTAACAAACTTTCCTCATTTGTGCCACAATGTTAGTGAATCATTGACGTAACCAAAAAGCTCGGCCATCTTCCTCAACTCCATCATATATATTAAGATCTATTGGTTTCACATTATCAAAATAGTCTACCATACCTCCAACATTGTGTTTAGTTGGCTTATGTTTCATCAAACCCCCTATGATATACTTTAATCGTAACATGACATTGTAAGTCAACCAAAAAATAACACATTTTATAAGGATTCCAAACTAAAATTATCGGAAAGTTAGAATAGAACCATTTAACTTATATCTAATAAATAAAATATTTTATACTAACATAATCTAACGCAAGCAGAAACAGAATATAAAGGCAACATAGTCCAACAACATTGAGTTTTCATATGTAGAAATCAAATAAAAAAATAAATGGTACCCAAAATCAGAAACAAAATAGTGTGTCGGCCTGCTCTATTACTAACAACATAAAGATAAAAAGCAAAAATTCTCTAAACCTTTTGGAATCTTGAACAAACAATATAAATTAAATTCTCAATATAACAAAGGTTTTGTTCTGTTCCCCTAATCCTTTTGATAAATATTGCTGTTGATTAAAGAATGTGATTGCCAAGTCTTTGCCTCTAGAAGAACATTTTGGCACCAAAATAAAGAAGAAATTAGGGATTTTTTAATGCTTACACCAATGATGGAAGAAGTTTAAGAAAAAAGGCTTTTCTTCGTCTTCTGTCCCTTAAGGTCTTGTTTGGTACGAGGGATAATGAATAATTAATCTTGTAATTAAATTTGAGATGAGTCTATTCAATGTTAGGTTGAGATAAAATAACTAATTCCGAAATTAGTTATCCTCGAATTGTAGTGTTCTTTTTATCCCTATGAAAGGGTGGGATAACTTATTTCCCAACAAAATGACCCCTAATTGTACGTATATTGCCGTTAACTTTTTTTAAGTTGCTGTTAGTATATAAACTCTATTAGAAGCAAAGACTAATTTGTCCACTTTTGGATACTTTAAGGGGTATTTTATACCATAGAGTATAAGATAGGGATAAAATAATGTTAATACTAAGATTTGAGAGAGATTGAAGATTCCATGGTTAGGGTTAAGAGAACTCGGAGAAAAATTGGGGCTTTCTAATTACTTGTAAGAATGAAAATAATCGTCCGGTCTACAACATACATGTGCCTCTCTATATATACGGACCGGTCTGGCCCAAACTATTAAATTTAATTAACTTCTAAACTACTACACATTTGAATAAATACAAAGTGGGCTTCGAGGCCCAATACAAAGAATGAACTAATACTAACTAAAATACTACTAACCACAAGATGTTATGTAATAATATTTACACTAATCTCAAAACCCCCCGGCAAGTTGGAGGATGAGATAACCCCATCTTGTGAAGATGGACATGATGAACAGCACATGTCAAGGGCTTAGTGAACATATCAGCAAATTGAGTGGCACTAGAGGTATGAGACAGCAGAAACAATCATTCAGTGAGTTTGCTCTTGACAAATTGGCAATCAAGTTCGATATGCTTAGTGCGCTTGTGAAAGACTGGTTCTTGGCAATGTGTATAGATTCTTGATTATCACAGAAAAGCTGAATTGGAGAAGAAACATGAATACCAAGATCATAAAGGAGCCGGAAAACCCATGTAATTTTAGCAGTAGCTTTGCTCATCGACCTGTACTCAACCTCTGCAGAGGATAAAGAAACTACAGACTGTTTCTTTGATTTCCAGCTCATTACACTTCCTCCCAACAAGATACAAAATCCAGACACAGACTTCCTGCTACCTGGACAGACCCCCCAATCACTGTCACAGTAAACACTCAAAGAAAAATCAGGAGAATCATTTAGAAATATACTAAAATCAGAGGTACCTTTAAGGTATCTAACTGAGTGCAGAGTTGCTTGCATGTGAGGAAGGCATGGATGCTACATAAACTGACTTAAGTATTGTACTGCAAAGGAGATGCCAGGCTTGGTGTGAATAAGAAAGTTCAGCTTCCCAATCGAATATATGTATCTCTCAGGGTTAGGCAACACATCACCTTCAGTAGCCTTTAGCTTTTCATGCATCTCAAGAAGGCATACAACAGATGAACAATCAGAAGAATGGAACTCCTTGAGAAGATTATGAATGAATTTCTTTTGATGAAGTAAAACCCCAGATTCAGTGTGCAGCACTTCAATCCCCAAGAAGTAATTGAGGTTGCCTAAATCCTTAATTTTAAACTGGTCATAGAAAAAGGCTTTCACAACAAATACTTCAGCTAGATCAGTCCCAGTGATGATTATATCATCCACATACACCACCAAAATGACAAAAGACTCTCCAGAACTCCAAGTAAAGAGAGAGTAATCATTCAAGGAATGCACATAGCCCCTAGAATACAAAGCATTTGACAATTTGGCATACAATTATCTAGAAGCTTTCCTTAGCCCATATAAGGATTTTTCGAGCTTGCAAACTAGAGGAGCTGAAGTAGACAAAGAAGAAAAAGAAGAATAAGAAACAGATAACCCAGGTGGAAGTTTCATAAAGACTTCCTCATCCAAATACCCATGTAGAAAAGCATTGTTGACATCTAATTGAAATAAAGGCCATTTCTTTTTGACAGCCACAACAATTAAAGTTTTAACAGTAGACATCTTTACAATAGGTGAACAAGTATCATGAAAATCTATCCCTTCAACCTGAGTATCCCCCTAACTACAAATCTAGCCTTGAATCTTTTTATGGTCCCATCATCTTTGTATTTGACTTTATATACCCACTTACAACCAATAGACTTCTTACCTAAGGGTAGCTTAACAATGTCCCAAGTGTCATTAGCCTCCAAGGCCTCAAATTCCTTTTTCATTGCATCCTTCCACTCAGGACTGGATGTTGCTTGTGAGTTAGTGTTAGGCTCAAAAATATTATTTTCAGTAAAAGTAGAAACAGAAGTGGAGTTAGCAGATTTAGGTCCTTGGGAAGGAAGGTGGCAAACATAGTTTTAGAGATAGGAAGGAGGATTATGAGGTTTGGAATACCTTCTGACTACAGGAACTGCTTCACTAGAAATAGGGAAAGAGGTGGACTGAGGTGGCAAGGAAGGAGAATAGGAAGACAAGGTAGAACTGGGGAAAACAGAAGGAGAGGGGCTAAATTCTTGGCAGGAAACAGTAGTAGATGGGGATAAATCAGGAGAAGTATGGTATGATGATGTAGGCTCAGAATAATCGGGGTGGGAAGAATGGTTAAAACAAGTAGAAAGAGGTATATTACACATAGGAGAATGCTTTGATTTTGTTTGAATAAAGGGAAATATGTGTTCATGAAAAAATAACATCTCTGGAAATAAAATAAGTTTTGTGTTTCAAATCATACAATTTTTATCCCTTCTTAGCAAAGGGATATCCTAAGAAGATACAAGGGATTGCCCTTGGTTGAAGTTTGTCTCTATGAGACTTTGGAACAGTAGAATAACATAGACATCCAAAGCTCTAAGATTGGAGTAAATAGAAAGTTTGTTGTAGAGGATTTCATAGGGACTTTTATCTTTTAACAAACTGGAAGGGAACCTATTTATCAAATAGGTGGAAGTGAGCATGAAGTCTCCCCAGAATTTAATGGGGAGTCCAGACTGAAAGAGAAGGGCCCTAGCAGTTTCTAAGAGATGTATGTACTTTCTTTCTACAACCCCATTCTATTATGGGGTGTGAGGGCATGATGTTTGATGCATGATTTCTTTTTCAGAGAATTGTGTAGAACCAACAATGCTTGAGCCCAAACTCTAGAGCATTATCACTTCTTACAGTTTGAACCTTTAATTGGAAGTGTGTTTCAGTCATGGCTATGAAAGCCTTTAAGAGATCAAATGTATTACACTTGGCACCCATTAAGTGGGTCCAAGTGGCTATGGAGAAATCATCTACAATGATCAAAAAATACTTTGGCCCATTATAAGTGGGGGAATAGTAAGGACCCCAGGTATCAATGTATATTAACTGAAAAGGCTTTGTAGTCTGTATGCTGCTATCAGGAAATGGCAGTCTAGTTTGCCTTGCTAAGGGACAAATTGGGCAAGAAAAGGACTGTTTGGGAGAAAAGTGTAGGGAAAGTGTAGGAATATGTTTCATTATAGAAAATGGAATTTGCCCAAGTCTATAGTGTCAAATGATGGTAGGCTATAATGTCGTATTTTAGTCGCTTATTGCACTTTAATTCACAGCACTTTACTTGTGTTTGAGCTTTAATTGATAGATTTTTGCACTTATTATGTATTTTATGCCTTGTAGGAGTGATTCCGAGCTATATAGATGTTATAGAATGAATTCGAGCGATTTGGAGCTTTAAAGTTTGAGTAAATGCCCAAGGGATTAAGTTGGGATCGTGTTCGGGGCTCGAGGACCAAGTCTGGACGTCAAAAATCGAAGTTTGAGTCGTACTATGAGTAAGCCCCACTGCCGCGGTGCATGGCGCGGCGCGGCGCGTGGGACACCGCGGCTGCCCAAATCCTGCTGCCTGTCAAATTGTTAGCTCTCTGGAAATCCCCACTAATGCCTCGCATGGCGCGTCGCCCCATGTGGCGCGCCTGTGTAATTTTTACAGAGTGAAAATCCTATTTCGGCTAGGAGAAGGTGATTTCATCTGGGCCCGACCCTACTTGGTATAAATACATGGGAAAATATTATTTTCTGGACTTTCGACAGATATTCGATCTAAGGAGGCTAAGGAGTAACGAGGGAAAAATACCACTTAAATTATGATCACTAGTCAAAGATAGTATAGTATAATATCGTATCCACAAGGATTGGAGTTAAACAGTATTTTCGTAGTTTCTAGCTTAATTGCTATCTAGGAGAATCAACAATCGAGATTTATATGATCAATAACTAAAATTAACTAAGAATCTAAAGCTATTGACTAATGATTATCGAACCAAGGAAAAAGAAGGTTATCAATGGGAGAAGATAGGGTTTTGATAGGAAGGTGCAAGATAATTGTTTGAGATCTAACTCTAGATAATTCACTTCTAATATTCAAGCTAGTCTCTCGAATTCACTCAATTATTAGTTCAAACGTTCAGCAAAAACTCCTCTCTCGATTAAGTTTTAACCTCACAAGATGAGCCAAATTAAGCACGTGAAGATATGCAAGAATGCATAGTGGATTGGTCTTTAGAAAAACCTCTTTAGATTATTCTCCTAACTAGGTTTAATCAATAATTCAACTAGCCTCTTTCGATTACTTAGAAGAATTAATGAACTCAACCAACAATATAATACAAAGATATCACAAGTTATGCCTCTCTCGATTACATGAATTAGTGAATATAGATGCAACAATTAAATCACCCAAAACGCTTCAATACATAAAACTAGAGTTATAATCCACAAACAATCATCAATACACCATTTCTATCAAACCCTAAAGGGAACTACTCCATAGATATGGAGCAATTCATCACAAATATGTTTAAAGTAAAGAAAAACATAAAACAATCCAAACTCGGGTCTTGAGTGAGGATTGAATGACGAACTCCTTCTGCTTTTGCTTCTCCAACTCCTCCTTAGCCTCCTTAGGTCTCCAATGTGTCAAATGTCCAGAAAATAACATTTTTCCATGTATTTATACCAAGTAGGGTCGGGTCCAGACAAAACCACATTTTTCTAGCTGAAATAGGAAAATAACTCTGTAAAAAATATACAAACGCGCCACAAGGGGCATTAGTGGAGAAATCCAGAGAGTTGAAATCTATCAGGCAGCAGAAAAATAGACACGTGTGGTGCCCCACACGCCGCAGCAGTGGGGATTTCTCAGAGTACGAATTTATTCGTGCATTTTGACATCCAAACTTGGTCCTCGACCCCCAAACACGATCCCGGCTTAATCCCTTGGGCTTTTACTCAGACGTCAAAGCTCCAAATCACTCAAATTAGCTCCATAACATCTACATAGCTCGGAATCACTCCTACAAAGCATAAACACACAATAAGTACAAAACACTATCAATTAAAGCTCAAACATCAATAAAGTGCAGTAAATTAGAGTGCAATAAGCGACTAAAATACGATATTATAGCCTACCATCAACACCCCACACTTAAACCATTGCTCGTCCTCGAGCAATCAAACTACACTTCATATAGACACGACCTTTTTAAACAACTCTCATAACTCATCATACCAAGAATATTTAAAACAGATTAAGTACAATACCGTAACATCCTAGCCTCAAGATTCGACAAAATCACTACGCATTATTTATAACCCGCTCACTTACTCTAACACAGAGGTCAACGACATTACCTTTCCTTCATGAATTAAATACCCTCACACAACAATAGAGAGTAGTTCCACACACAATGTAATTAAGAATAATTAGGAACTCAAGATAAAAAGAATTCACTCACTCTCAGAAACAACTTTCATATGACAAAAAAGATTCACCATAGGCTTTCCCGTAGTATACTACTCTACTAATTGAGCTCATTCAGTCAAGGATCAAGTAGGACTTTAACTGGTTGTAAAGTAGGCCGCGGGATGGGTAAGATACATTTAGATATAAGAGTGACTACACCTTCCTAAGCACTTTTAATACATATAATTAACAATTCAAAACCTCACACTTATGTCAAACCATAACTCCACCTTCGCATCAATATACATTAACTTCTTACTTCTTTAAACACAAGTACATCAAGGGTCACCACTATCAAAGAATATTTTTTTACAACAATACAACTATTTTTCTTTTTCTTTTATTTTATTTTCTAATTCAAGTGACTCTTACTTTTTCAAAATATTGCACCTTTCTCCTTATTTCAATAGTTCCACTCAAAAGCCAAACCAACCACCCCACACTTCAACTTTTACAAAGTTCATAATAATTCAAGTGTTCACAAGAGGTAAAAGGTTCTAATAGATGGTCAATTCAAATAATTGGGTAAGGCTTGTAATGTGGTTGCCAAAGGAACGTGATTACAGGCTCAAAGGGGTTAACTACGATACATAACAATCATGTGGGTAAAAGCATATCATTGACTCAACAAAGAAATGTTTGTATCACTTTCAAGACTGAATAAAACTACTATTTCGCTTTGCAAACACACGGGGCAAGTTCTAGACATCAAATTCAATGCACAGAATAACATAAAACTCACACACATATGACACATAACTCACTCAGGATTGGACTCATCAAGACACTCCTATCAAAACAGTTAAGCAAAGTTAGGGTCATACAATTTAAGGTACTTATACAAGAGTCAAAAATAGAGCCTAAGCGTCACACTAAAGCACTCACTATTCTCAAGGTATAATAAAGTTAAGAGATATTCCTTTCCATTCAATTCATAGCACAAGGTTTTCTACTCCTAAAAAAATAAAAACTAACTACACCCGGTTCAAATAAAACTCTTGGAAAAGAACCGCGTCACAAAGAAAAACCAAGGGGGAATTAATACACCACCTAACAAAAGAAAATCATTTTTTGTCTTTTTCTTTCGACTTTTATCCCTCAAGAAACTCATTGAATGATATCTATCATCAGGAAAAATCAAAAAATCTTCAATTTTTATGGTTTTTCAAATTTTTTATCTCTAACTACTAAAACAAAAACTAAACTAACACATATACATACAATATACAACATACAACATATCTCTCACCCCACACTTTAAGTTGTAGCATGTCCCCATAACACACAATTAAAAAGCATAAGGTAAAGGAAACTTCCCTGAACATCTAGTCGGGGTCTGAGTCGAAGTCGGGCTCCATTCCTCGCCTTCGAACTAATACGCACATCCATGCCGATAACTTCTTTTCAGTATTTTTGGGTGCACCCTATACTTATCTTTTTCACTCGCCGCAGCCTTCTCTTTTGAGCCCTTCACTTTCCACTCAACATCTGTAGCTGGCTTCTCCTTTTTCACCCCCATTTCTACATTCATCTCGAAAGTCACAGTCTCCTCACCCACTCTAAGCATGAGCTTTCTCTCGTGCATATCTAATATTACTCTACCCATTACTAAGAATGGTCTTCCTAGGATGAGGGGGGACCTCCTTGTTCTCCTCCATATTCACCACTATAAAGTCTACAGGAAATACGAACTTATTTACATGAACTAAGACATCTTCCACTATCCCCTTGGGTATCAGAGTTGTTTGGTCTGCCGGCTGCAAAGATATTGGCACTGACCTTATCCTTCCAATCTCCTTCTCCAGTTTCCTATAAATAGATAGAGGCATTAAGTTAATTGAGGCACCAAAATCACATAAAGATTTATCAAAATTAATAGAGCCTAAAGAGCAAGGTATAGTAAAACTCCCTAGATCTCCACATATTTGTGAGAGTTTGTTTTGCAATATCGCATTGCAATGCTCTGTGAGCTTGACCACTGATGTATCTTCTATCTTTCTCTTCTTTGTCAGGATCTCCTTCAAGAATTTAGCATAAGCTGGCATTTGGGAGAGCACTTCTGTGAATGGAAAATTTACATTAACCTGTTTCAGCATATATAGAAATCTCTCAAAATGCTTGTCCAACTTTTCTCTATATAGATTTTGAGGAAAAGGTAGAGCATGCATATGCTCGCTCTCATTAGATTCATCCCTTCTCGAAGTTTCCTCCTTTTTTTGTCAGCTCCCTTCTTACCTTTCTTCTTCTTATCAATATCATTCTCTAATTGCTCCTTATTTTCATTTTCAAGTACTACCTCTTTTTGGATTGGAGTGGTATCTTTCAACACTTGTCCGCTTCTCAAGTTCACAACATTCACTATTTCTTTGGGATTTCTCTCAGTATCAGCTGGCAGAGTACCTGGGACTCTCTCAGATAATATTATTGCAATTTGTCCCACTTGCCTCTCTAAGATTCGAAAACCAGTGCCTAATTCTTTGATAGTTGCTCCATGTTCCCGTATAGTTGTGCTATGAGTTTCAAGTCTCTCATCAGTTTTTAAAATGAAAAAATTCATGAGATCTTCTATGCCAGACTGAATGGGCCGTTGAGACTGAAATTGTTGCCTCTGCTGATTTTGGAATGCTAGAGCTCCTTGTCCCTGGGGTCTAGAGTTATTTTGTTGCCATGCATTTGCGGTACCCCCAGGTGAACTCCATGAAAAATCGGGGTGCCTCTGATCCATTGCATTAAAATTGTAGTTTCCCACAGTATTCACCTCCTCACTTGAGGCTTGACACTCATAAGTAGGGTGTCCTTTTCCACATATATCAGAAGCTGCATAAGGCTCATTTTGTATCGAGGCTAAGGTCAGCTTCCTTATTTCCTTAGCCATAGCATTAAGTTGTACCTGCACAGATGTGTTAGCACTAACCTGGTGAACACCAGTTGATCTTCTTCTTTCTGCATTTTCAGAGGTCCATTGATTAGCATCTTCAGATAACTCATCAAGAATTGTGATTATCTCCTCCGGAGTCTTCTTCATCAATGGGCCTCCAGCTGCATTGCTCAATTTTTTACATGAGGCCGGTGTCAATCCATCCCAAAAGTCCTGGAGTTGCATCAAGAGTTCAATTCAACTATGTTGATACTTTCGAACAATCTACTTAAACCTCTCACATGCTTCAAAAATAGTTTCATTCTCTTTGTGGCAGAAGTTATGGATTTCTCTTCTAAACTTGCATGTTTTAGCTGATGAGAAATATTTATCAAAAAAATTTCTGGTCATCTCATCCCATGTTTGAATCGATCCATTAGGTAAGCTTTGAAGCCACCGCTTTGCATAATCTTTGAGTGTGAAGGGGAATGACCTTAAGTAAACTGCATCCTGTGATACACCATTGTATTGAAATGTGTTTATAATCTCCTCGAAGTCCATTAGACGTGTGTTTGGATTTTCGTTCATCTTCCCTCTGAAGACACAGCAGTTTTGAAGAGTTTGAAGCAACCCCTGCTTCAATTCAAAGTTGTTTGTTGCAATTAGAGGTGGTCTAACACTGGATAATCCTTAATTGTAGACCGGTCTAGCATAATCACCAAGTGGTCTCCCAGGCAAGGGTTGATGTTGATTAAGTCTGAAATCGCTCTCTTCTTCATAAATGTTTTGCCCATCTCTAATAGCTTCTTCCTCGGCATCTTGTGCAGCTTGTTCTCTTCGTTGGGCTGCTTCTCTTGCAACCAAATCCACATTATCTTCACCGTTTCCAGCCATAAGTTCTTTGGTTGAGGATTGCCAAACCTTTTCTGTTGTCTCTGTGAGATTTCTTTCCTTCTTCAGTTGTCATAGTTGTTTCTCAATTTCTGGCTCGTATGGTAGCACTTCCTTCGTAGAAGTTCTAGTCATGCACCACTTTGAACCTGTAACCTGCGCAAAGTCAAAGAACACCAAACGTAAAAAGGAAAAAATAAAAAAAAATAAAAAAAAAATACCTGAATTAGCACTACAAACTATTTCAAACACTATTGATTGTCAATCTCCGGCAACGGCGCCAAAATTTGACGAGGGCAAAACACCACTTAAATTATGCTCGCTAGTCAAAGATAGTATAGTATAATATCGTATCCACAAAGATTGGAGTTAAACAGTATTTTCGTAGTTTCTAGCTTAATTGCTATCTAGGAGAATCAACAATCGAGATTTATATGATCAATAACTAAAATTAACTAAGAATCTACAGTTATTGACTAATGATTATCGAACCAAGGAAAAAGAAGGTTATCAATGGGAGAAGATAGGGTTTTGATAGGAAGGTGCAAGATAATTGTTCGAGATCTAACTCTAGATAACTCACTTCTAATGTTCAAGCTAGTCTCTCGAATTCACTCAATTATTAGTTCAAACGTTCAGCAAAAACTCCTCTCTCGATTAAGTTTTAACCTCACAAGATGAGCCAAATTAAGCACGTGAAGATATGCAAGAATGCGTAGTGGATTGGTCTTTAAGAAAACCTCTTTCGATTATTCTCCTAACTAGGTTTAATCAATGATTCAACTAGCCTCTTTCGATTACTTAGAAGAATTAATGAACTCAACCAATAATATAATACAAAAATATCACAAGTTATGCCTCTCTCGATTACATGAACTAGTGAATATAGATGCAATAATTAAATCACCCAAAACGCTTCAATACATAAAACTAGAGTTATAATCCACAAACAATCATCAATACACCATTTCTATCAAACCCTAAAGGGAACTACTCCATAGATATGGAACAATTCATCACAAATATGTTTAAAGTAAAGAAAAAGATTAAATGATCCAAACTCGGGTCTTGAGTGAGGATTGAATGACGAACCCCTTCTGCTTTTGCTTCTCCAACTCCTCCTTAGCCTCCTTAGGTCTCCAATGTGTCAAAAGTCCAGAAAATAATATTTTTCCATGTATTTATACCAAGTAGGTTCGGGCCCAAAAGAAACCACCTTTTTCTAGCTGAAATAGGAAAATAACTCTGTAAAAAATATACAAACATGCCACATGGGGCAACGCGCCATGTGGGGCATTAGTGGAGAAATCCAGAGAGTTAAAATCTATTAGGCAACAGAAAAATACACACGCGCGGCACCCCACGCACTGCAGCAATAGGGATTTCTTAGTGTACGAATTTATTCGTGCGTTTTGACATCCAGACTTGGTCCTCAACCCCCGAACACAATCCTGGCTTAATCCCTTGGGCTTTTACTCAGACTTCAAAGCTCCAAATCACTCGAATTAGCTCCATAACATCTACATAGTTCGGAATCACTCCTACAAAGCATAAACACACAATAAGTGTAAAACACTATCAATTAAGGCTCAAACATGAATAAAGTGCAGTAAATTATAGTGCAATAAGAGACTAAAATACGATATTATAGACTACCATCAAGGAGGAGTTGGAAGAACACAAGCACAAGGATTTCATCATTCCTTCCTCACTCAAGACCCAAGTTTGCATTGAATTTATGTTTTCCTATACTTTAATTTTATTTGTGATGAATTTCTCCATACTTATGGAGTAGTTCTCTTTAGGGTTTGTTGGTATTGATGATTGTTTGTGGATTATAATTCTAGTTTTATGTATCAAATCATTTTTGGATGAATTAATTGTTGCTTCTATACTCACTAGTTCATGTAATCGAGAGAGGCATAACTTTTGATATCTTTGCATTATATTGTTGGTTGAGTTCATAGATTCTGCTAAGTAATCAAAAGAGGCTAGTTGAATCATTGATTAAACCTAGGTAGGAGAATAATCGAAAGAGGTTTTCCGAGATACCAATCCACTACGCATTTTTGCATATCTTCACGTGCTTAAATTTGTTCATCTTGTGAGGTTAAGACTTAATCAAGAGAGTTTTGCCTAACATTTGAACTAATAATTGAGTGAATTCGAGAGACTCACTTGAACATTAGAAGTGAATTATCTAGAGTTAGATCCCAAATAATTATCTTGTACCTATCCTATCAAAACCCTATATTCTCCCATTGATAACCTTCTTTGCTTATTCCTTGTTTCTATTATCATTATTCAATAGCTTTAGATTCTTATTTAATTTTAGTTAGACATCTTATAAATCTCAACTGTTGATCATCTTGGATAGCAATCAAGCTAGAAACTACGAGAATACTGTTTAAATCCAATCCCTGTGGATACGATATTATACTATACTATATTTGATTAGCGAGCAGAGTTTAAGTATGTGTTTTGCGCTCATCAATTTTTGGCGTCGTTTCCGGGGATTGGCAATCAATAATGTTTGAAATAGTTTGTAGTGCTAATTCAAGAATTTTTTTTTCTTTTTTTAATTTTATTTGTTCCTTTTTAAGTTTGGTGGTGTTGACTGTGCACAGATTATTGGTTTAGATTGGTGCATGACTCGAGCTTCTGCGAAAGAAGTGATACCATACAAGCCAGAGATAGCAAAACAACTACGACATCTGAGGAAGGAAAGAAATCTCACTGAGACGTTAGAAAAGGTTGGGCAATCCTTACCAAAGAACTTATGGCTGGAAACAGTTATGATAATATAGATTTGGCTGCAAGAGAGGCAGCCCAACAATGAGAAAAAGCTGCATGGGATGCTGAGGAAGCAGCTATTAGAGATGCACAAATTATCTATAAGGAAGAGAGGGGTCGGAGAATTGCTCAAAATCAACCATTGGCTGCAGACCAGTTCAGAAATATAGCTCTCATGCCTGGGAGATCATTGGGCGATGATGCTAGACCGGTCTACAATCAATGCTTATCATGTATGAGACCACCTCCAATTGCAGCTAACAATTTCGGGTTGAAGCAAGGGTTGCTTCAAACCCTTCAGAATTGTTGTGTCTTCAGAGGGAAGATGAACGAAGATCCAAATACACATCTAATGGATTTTGAGGAGATTATGACCACCTTTCAAGATAATAGTGTGTCACAAGATGCAGTGTACTTAAGGGCATTCCCCTTTACACTCAAAGATGATGCAAATGAGTGTCTTCGAAGCTTACCCACGGGATCTATTAGAATAAGGGAGGAGATGACTAGAAAATTCCTTGATAAATATTTCTCCTCAGCTAAGACAGGCAAGTTTAGGAGAGAAATCCATAACTTTTTCCAGAAAGAGACTGAAACTGTTTTTAAAGCATGGGAGAGGTTTAAGGAGATTGTTAGAAAGTGTCAACATAGTGGAATTGAACTCTGGATGCAGCTCTAGGACTTTTGGGATGGATTGACACCGGCCTCACGTAGAACATTGAGCAATGCAGTTGGAGGCCCTTTGATGAAGAAGACTCCAGAGGAGATAGTTACAATTCTTGATGAGTTATCTGAAGATGCAAATTGGTGGCCCTCTAAGAGTGCTGAAAGAAGAAGATCAACTGGTGTTCACCAAGTTGATGCTAATACATTTGTGCAGGTACAACTTGATGCTATGGCCAAAGAAATAAGGAAGCTGACCTTGGCTACAATACAAAGTGAGCCTCATGCAGCGTGTGATATATGTGAAAGAGGACACCCTACTTATTAATATCAAAACTCAATTGAGGAAGTGAATGATGTGGGAAATTATAATTTTAATGCAATGGGTCAGAAGCGCCCCGGTTTTTCATGGAATTCACCTGGGGGTACCACATATGCATGGCAACAAAACAACCCTAGATTTCAGGAAAAGGAGCTCCTAGTTTTATGAATCAACCGAGGCAGCAGTTTTAGCCTCAACAGCCCAATCAACCTAGTCTAAAAGATCTCATGAAGGCCTTCATTGTGAAAATTGATGAAAGATTTGAAGTACAAGGGGCAGCAATTCAAAATTTAGAGAAGCAAGTGGGACAGATTGCAATAATATTATCTGAGAGTGTTCCAGGCACTCTCCCTGCTGATACTGAGAGAAATCCCAAGAAAACAATGAATGTTGTAACCTTGAGAAGTGGGCAAGTGTTGAAAGATCCCACCTCGATCCAAAAAGATGTGAGACTTGAAAAAGAATGTGGGGAGCAGCTGAAAAGTGATGATGACAAGAAGAAGAAAGGCCCAATGAATACTGAGAAACAGAAAAAGGAAGAAAAATTGAGAAGGGAGGAACATGATGAGAGAAAGCATATGTCGGTGCTACCTTTCCCTCAAAAGCTATATAGAGAAAAGTGACGAGCGCAAAACACACCCTTAAATTGTGCTCGCTAGTCAAAGATAGTATAGTATAATTATCGTGTCCTCAGGGATTAGATTTAAACAGTATTCTCATAGTTCATAGCTCGTTTGCTATCCAGAAGGATCAACAATTGAGATTTATATAATTAATAATCTAAAATCCACAGCTATTAACTAATGACAATCGTAACAAAGGTAAGTAAGGAAGTTATCAATAGAAGAAAATAGGGTTTGACAGAATAAGTGCAAGATAATTATTTGAGATTTTACTCTAGATAATTCACTTCTAATGTTCAAGTGAGTCTCTCGAATTCACTTAATTATCAGTACAAATGTTTAGTAGAAACTCCTCTCTCGATTAAGCTTCAACCTCACAATATGAACCAATTTAGCTCTGTGAAGATATGCAAGAATGCGTAATGGATTGGTCTTTAGGAGAACCTCTCTCGATTATCCTCCTAACTAGGTTTAATTAAGGATTCGACTAGTTTCTTTTGATTACTTAGAAGAATCTATGAACTCAACCAATAATATAGTGCAAATATATCACAACTTGTGCCTCTCTCGATTACAAGAACAAGTGAACATAGATGCAATAA